AATTTCTCTTATGATAGCTTGCAACATGTGAAAATTTCCTACAACTTAGTGCAAAAAAAAAAAATCACAGGAAAAACACTAAAGATGTCTGATATTTGTCCAATCCCTTTGCAACAGCAAGAAATGCCTCTTCAGAACTAAAATACATGGTGAGCAAAAAACATCAAATGAGTTAGATCAGGGAACAGCGTTCTCTCTGGCTTTTCTCAGTACTATTGAAACAGGAAGAGCATAAAGTTCTTGCCTTAGTAGTCAACCATGACTTTTTTCTTTTTTTTTTCTTTTTTTCTTTTTATTTTATCTTCAGAATTTTCTCAATTTATCCAAGTGAAAAAGAATTTTTCTGACTGAGAAGTAATAGAAAATGCTATGCAAATAGAGGCAGGCACAGTGATTTCATGATAATGATATTTACTTAAAAGTGGCTATATCCCAGAAAAAATCAGATCTATGAAGATAATGATTACTAAACCCAGCATTCTCTGAGAAGCCACCATACTGAAGCATTCTGCTCTAAGTACCTTTCATGTTTGCCTCATTTGATCCTTCCAACAGTCTGAACAGGTAGATAGTACATCATGCCCAGTCACATTTTTTTTTTAAAAAAAAGTAGAGGCTCACATCATCTCATTGACTTGCCCAAAGAGACAGCACTTACAAGAGCCAGTACAACAACCTGGGTCTGGCAGACTCTGGTGCCAAACTTTAGCACCTGTTGAAGATGCTTTGGTGGTGCCCCTGAAAGAATTTGAAAATAGGCCACCATTATTAAGTCACCTACATCAGAGGCTAGTTGACCAGTCTTCTGAAACACAAACCAAAATTCAGGACAGATTCAATTTTGAATATTGTGCCTGGAAAGATCTGGAGGGTGGTGGAACTGTTTTCAGCACCCCAGAGGGAAGTGACCCATAGAGCATCACATGGCAAGTCAGGCACTGGGACAGGACTACACCCAGCCTTCCTGGTTCCTGGCCCATCGTTCTTTCCATCATTTTAAATTGCTTTCCCTGCTAAATGACATCAGCTGCACTTATCAATTACATAGCAGTGTTCCAGAAGAGAACATCAGCTGCTTTAAAGAAAACAACATAGCATATGATCTAGGCATGTGATAATGCCCAAATAAATGCATATAAAAATTGGAAAAATCCAAATAAGCTCCAATTTTGAGTTAATGGTATAATACTGATGTCAATGGTGTACATCATTTAGACAATGCCATTAAGTTAAATAAGAAACTAATGTAACAGGAAGATGAGCTAAAATATTTACTCACTTACTATGCGTAGAATATAATATTAAAACAGCCAAAATGGGAGAGATGCATGATGTGGTGGGTCCTTTCCAAGACTAGAAGAGGTGGTGACAGAGTCACTTCTGGGCCAAGCTCTCCCCAGTGCTCATTGAACTTGTTTTCTACACCTAGGTCACTGCCATCATCTGCTCCTTCCACAAAGTTCGAACCCTCAGTGTGACCACTGATTCTCTGACCTCCAGCCTTCACATAATGGCTAAAAGTGTGGGCTCTGGTTTGGGACCTCAGTTCAAATCCAGACTCCCCCTTTTCTAGCAGCATGGCCATGGCCAAGGTACCTAACCTCTCTCTTAAGTCTTAGTTCCTTATAGTTTTCAGCCTCTCAAGACCGCTTTTAAGATTAAATGAGAAAGACAGATGTTTAGAGGTCCTTGGAATATATAGTTAAGACCATTAGACATGGTGATATTGAGGGGATGGGGAGGGGAAGAGGAAGGGTCAGGCTCCCTTCCTTCTCTCCTGACCTATGGGTCACCAAAGCCTCTTCACTGTGCTCCCCAAACTTCTCTCAAACCTTCTCCTTCCATCCCCATTCCCCTAATTTAGGCTGAGATATTGCAACTCCTCCCGACTATGTATACTCAGTGACTCATGAATAACTTTCTAAAGGAGATCTGATCTTCCACCAGCATGGCATAGAGGATACAGAGAGTAGTTGGTGCCTGATGGCTTGTGATTATCTATGTATCTATCTAATTGCCTATTAGGCTCAAATTCCCCAAGGCAGGATTTGTGTCTGATTCAGGTTGAGAGTCCCCAGATTGCTGGCCTCATGTAGTCACCCAAATAAAAGACATTGGTGTGTTTAGATCTTGTCATGGTTGGCCTTTCTGGTCATTCAGCCCAAAGGTAATTTTCTCAGCCAATCGAAATCATGTCCAATTACTTCAGATTGAATTCTTCATTTGATCCATATAACAGCCCTATGCGAAGGGATAATTGTCATGTGTAATTTGCCAGTGGCCTCAGCTAAAAAATAAAGGTCTTAAAAACAGATCATCTTCCCGGTTGTCATTCTAGGGTTGTCCTTTCTGCTTTGTGGAGTGGATGTGGGTATTTTGTAAGTTCATAGTAACTCAGTCTCTCAGAGACCTTGGCAGCCATTAGAACACTCAAAGGGTATTTCCACACTTCAGGGAAGGTTTGCATACCCCTCATCCGACTTTTGTTTTGAGAAGCAAGCTGTGGGTGATCAGAGTCCAGGATGGGACTGAGGAGACAGATTGTCACTGTTAAATTTTGGCATCACTTGTGGGGCCACACCTTTTCCTGAAGTCAACTTCCAGGATACAGGGACATTGAGTAGGGAAAATTACTACCACCCTCTGTCCCCATGTCTAGATTCATCCAGAGTGACCATGTGGTATAGCAGATCTGGTGCAGTGTCCATCAGACTCTGCACAATGTTTGAATGTAATATCTGATTCATAAGATCGACTAACATTTTGTCTGTGTCTGTGGTTGTCTAAAGTGATGCAAGTTTGTGTGATTTCCTTGTGATGATCCCATTCTAACTGAACTGGGGCCAAGGGTTGATGTGATAATCTGTTTCAGCTTTGGTGACTCTTGTTTATTTGTGAAATATCCTCTGCACCCCATTGACAAGAGAGATTCACTCAACTGCCTACTTACCACCACCACCACCACCACCTCCATTAGAATGGACCCCCTCCACACTGCAGCCAAAGTTATAATCTGTAAACAGGTCTAAGCATGGCCCTCCCTTTCTTCAGACATCCAGTGGTTGGTTCCATAGGATAAGATTCTAATTCTTCACCCTGGCAAACAAAATTCTTCAATTCAGCTGAATTCTTCAGCCTCGTTCCATTCCTCCCAGCATCCCTACCCGTTAGCCTTGTCATTCTGTGAGCTTTCTTTGCTCTTGATTTCTCTGCCTTACACACATGACCCATGAGAATGAGCTCAGGCTGGGACATATTGGGCCTAGGGTTAGCAGGAATGAAACAGAAATTGGGAAAAGGGAGGAGGGTGAGATGTAACCATACAGTGTAAAAATGAGTGCTGATGGAAGACATTTTCCTTATTTTCATGTTAAAATGTTCATGGGGTAGGGGCAAGAAATATTTGAGGGAGGAGAAATACATAGCAAATATGGCATTTTGAAAGGCTAATTGGGTTTGGATGAACATATTGAGATGATATTCTATTATTGTCAGAAATAATGCTTTACAGAGAGGCTATTTGTGAAGCAAGACCACTTATTATTGATGGATTGATGTGCACATAGGAATATGGAAGCAATAATGCAGAATACAGTGCCTGCAGAAAGATGTCAATCAAACATGAAATTAGAGGGGCAAGAATGAATGAACCCCTTTTGATTTGACCCTGCCTACAGGATTTGACCTGTAGGACCCACATAAACAGATCCAGGGTTGTTTAACCAAGTCTAAAGTGTGCTGTGGAGAGTTTGATGATCACATTGTCCCTCAGAATGGTCTGATAATTACTCTTAGAATTCAAGAACCAAGACAAGCCTGTCACTCAGCAAGCATATGTCTCAAGTTTTAAAATAACATTCTAATTTCAGCATCTTTCTGTATCCCCACAACTCAGTGAATAATCTTGTAATCCCAATATTTCACCATTGAAACTACAATCTACTTACTTCCCATGGAAATGTGACAAAATTCTTTGCTCATACCATGAGTCCCAATTTGAGGTTTGGGAAACATGATCGAGAGCCCTGTGGAATGAGCTCCAGAAATAGAGAAAGATATTTTATGAAGATTATTCCATTCTGTTTCAAAGTTTGTTTTTTTTTTTCAATGCAAAATAAAATTTTCCCAACAGGAACATGGGGGTGGGAGTGGAAAAAGCCAAAAGATCTTAAATGAGTAATGGAAATTCTTTGGGGAGATAATTCAGGAAAGACAGAGTTCCTTTAAACAAGACTAATTGTACAAAGAGCACTCTATTATTTGGAAGCTTACCATCTTCTTTGTTGGTGTTTCTGGCCTTTTGCTCCAGGAAAAGCACTTTGGGGTAATCAAGCAAAATTCCTGCTGCTTGACTCTCCAGAGCCAGTTATCAGTAAAGATTCAGATCTCAGACTATTTAATTTCCTAAGAAACTGGGTCAGGGAACAGGACTTTGGGGTGGGATACTTTGCTATGTACTTGTAGCGTCTATAATTTGGAACAGAAGATTTGCAGGCCAACCTCAATTTTAAGGGTGGTACTTAAAAAAAAAAATTCCAAAAAAATTCTTCATTTGAAATGTACAGCATGGAGCATCCTTGGCCTCCCATACTCCAGTAGAGATTCTCAGAACAACTTCACTGTCCAACCTGTAAAAAATAGATTTCTATCCCCTATCTCTTCTCTGTTCTTTTCCCTTGTGTTATTTTTCTCCTGATCACTTACCACCACCAAATGTACTGTTTTATTTACTTCTTTATTGTCTGCGGCCCTCACCCTGCCCTTGGAATGTATATTTTCACAATAGAAAAAAAAAAAAAAGACAGTTTTTGCCCAGAGTAGGTGCTCTGTGAATATCTGTTGAGTGACAGCTAGCATGAACTCGCTTATCTGCCAGTGCAAGGGCAGCAGGAATGTCGGTTTGAGTCTTGCCAGTAGATCTTCAGTTGTCCCTATCCCTTGGTCTTCTGGGTGCTTCTGGTACATGCTACAAGAATCTCTTTTGTCTTACCTTTTTGCAGAGCATTGGCTGTGACGACTACCTAGGCTCCGATAAAGTCGTGGACAAATGCGGGGTATGCGGAGGCGACAACACGGGCTGTCAGGTGGTGTCTGGGGTGTTTAAGCATGCCCTTACCAGCCTGGGATACCACCGCGTTGTGGAGATTCCCCAAGGAGCCACAAAAATCAACATCACCGAGATGCACAAAAGCAACAACTACTTGGGTAAGCTTGGTCTTTTTCCAGAGGAAATCATCTGTCGATGCAGGTTGAAATTTTCCTTCCAGTGTTGTGAGATGGACATGATGGTATCCGGAGGCCTTGGGACATTTAGAAAGTTCCACTGTGGAACCCCCAAGCACCACCTGGCCTTCCCCCAAATGAGAAAGAGAGGGAAAATCCTTCTTGCAAGTAAATGTAGGACATAGATACATTTAAACCAGCCGTTGTTCCACCTGAGAGAAACATGGTAAAGACTACATTGACCCTCTGAGATGGGAAGGTCTCTTTATAGAACCAGTAGGTTTGCTGGTCTTCATTCTGTTGGGGAGTGAGGTGGCCAGAGGCAGTTGAAGATGCTGGAGGTCTAAAGCCGATGTCCTTCTCTTCTTTCTTTCTGCTTCACGGGCCATTAGTGGTATGTGTATGTTCCGGACAGCTGTAGAACCCTTCAGCAATCATGTTGAGCAATATCATCAATACTGAAGGCTGTTTTTAATCTACTCCCCTGCCAAAGGAGATCTTCATTGATATTTACTTCCGGGTTTCCAGGCCATTTACATTCCATCTGGTACAAACCAGTCATAAGAATTTGATTTTGCTGATTTCCAATTCGTGTAAGCATGTACAAATCAGTTAAAGAGATAATATAAGGAAGCCGTTTTTAAAGTCATTAAGTGAAGAGCAATATTTTTTATTTTTAATTATTCATTGATTAGGAATTTATCTAACACAAACTATGTGCCAGGCAATATTCTTAAGGCTCTCCGTGTATAAAATCTTGAACCCTCTCAACATCCCTAGGGCATAGGATCTCTTCCCAGCCCCATTTTACAGATAAGGAAATACACACAGGTAGGTTATTGCAACTTGCCAAGCTCACACAGCCAGAAAGAAGTGGAGCTGGGATTTGAACCCAAGCAGTCCAGGAAGGGTAGTCTAAAAGATAACACCCAAGAGCAGTTTCAGATCCTCAGTTCCCCTGGTACACTATTGGGCATACAATATTGATTGCATCCATTGAAAGACCATTAATTTTTCAACTTTCAAGTACCAGAATCACCCCAGAAGATAATTCCAGACCCAGGACCTCCACCTTATTCTGCAGTTCTTCCTTCCCCGCCCAGCCAAATGTAGACAAAGCTAACTCCGCTTGATTTTATTGGCTGGAGGAGGAAGGATGGCAGATGTGTCTGTGAGACAAACCCAATTAAAGCAGAAAACTGTTATATTTGCTCTGGCAAATCCAGGAGCCACCAAAATGGCAGAATGCCTAGTTTCCCAGTGAGTGGTTCATGTTATTTTTAATAGCAAGAGAAAAAAAATACTCATTTCTTTTGTACTTTTTTAAATGAGATCATATCTCAGTAAACATCCTGTCTCCTAGAACGGAAATTGTCCTTCCTGGGATGATTTGAAGTGCGATTATATTCAAATGCTCACACAAACAATGCCACTTTTGATTAGCTTTGTGTGTGATAGCAGATTTTCCCTGGCTGTACTTGGTCCTATTCCATAAGCACTTTTCAGGTAGTATACTTGAAAACAAAATAGATATTCTGGTTGGCTGCAATATGTAAATCAATGGAAATGTAATTGATGTAACTGATGTGATTCAGCAATCTGTATACAGGGTAAAAATGGGAGTTCATAACCCTTTTGAATCAAACCGTGAAATATGATATATCAAGAAAGATGTAATGTTTTGAACGACCAACAATAAAAAAATAAATAAATAAAAATAAAAATAAAAAAATAGATATTCTGAGTGACTATCCACTAGGTGCCTGAACCGAAACAGCTCTCAGGGCCTTGGTGTTTCCATCTGGAGTATGGGAATCAGAATCTTAACCTCCTTAGCAGTCGTGGGAATCAGTAGGATAACAGATGCTCAACAGAGCCCCTGACACTTGCTAAGCAGTCGGCACTGCCTTTCTTTTGTCTCAGCCCCTGTCAGGACGCCAAAACTTCATGAAATAAAAATTTCCTCTCCCCATAAAAGAGATGAAGAAGGGGAAAAGAGAGAATGGAAGTAGCAAAAGGAATGGGAGGGTGATTCAGGAAGTCAGGTTAAACTTTCCAAGCCCTTAGACCAGTGGGATGCACAAGAAAGCCATAGTGTCCATGACTGCGTCACATGATGCCACATGGGCTAGGAGACATCGGAAACAGCAGGCGGACCATAGAGAAAGGAGACTCCAGGGTGACGAATGGAGCTTCCATTCTAACACCTTGTCACCCAGGAGGCTCTGTTGAGCTTACATCACCTGAATGCACCTGCAAATTGCATTTTCTGTAAAATTTGACTTCATACACAACGTTGTCTCATCCATGTCAATAAGTTTATTCTATAGAATAGGCAATCTAAAGGATATTAATTGTTCACATTTTATATTGTCACTTTTAAAAATTGTACGACTTTTAACAAGTTTTTTCAGTTTTCCTGTTGTTTTCCAGAATTATCTTTAGTTATTTGTAAAAGCATTCAAACTTTCCTTGTGAACTAGCTGATATTCTTTAGTGACTGAATCCCTAAACTTGATAGCAATAGAAAATAGATTCCCATAAAAACAGTCTGACTTGTATCTTGTATTTTTAGTGCTAGAGATATAGGTATAATCATCTCATTTTTAAAAGATTTCTAAAGTTTTCAATATTTAAATAACTTACCCTACTCATATGGATAATGATAGTGCTCAAGTGCTCATACCATACACCATATTGAAGATATATATATATATATGATACTTTAGTCTCCAAAGCAATTTCAGGTGTATCTTCTGCCTTTTCAAACTGAACATTGTTTACTTTGCTTGATTAAAAAAGAATTTGGAGTTACTAAAATTACAATTATAGAGTTTGGGTATGAAAACTGTAATTTAAAAATCAAAAACAAAATAGAAGGAGGCATGTACATCAGAGATCTTGGCTTATATGTTAATAGCAATGGCACATTAAACTTTACTTTGAGTTTGGCCAACAAAATCAGACCTGCCAGCCTCAGATTCTGGTCCCTGACCTATTATAGGAGGACTGGCCACGCAGAGCTGGAGGAGATGGTCAGCTCATTATGTCACGATGTTACTGTTTTCTCTGAGCAAATCTGGCATTTAGCGGCATGCACATTTTAGGAGATAGAATGTTTAATCATCTCATTTGAGCTTCAAAATTCTGTGTTTATTTGAATTTGTTTACATCCTCCAAAATTCAGACTGTTTAATGAGTTCTGGATTCTAGAACTCTCTTTTTCTGTTGTTAAGCTATGAATTCTCCCTCTGTGAATTATTCTCAATCCTGCTATTTGGGGGGAAAGTTGAATCTGATTATTTAAATGATTGACAGTTTATATTACTTTTTTCTTCCTTAATAAGATGTTTTAAAATTATTTTAGCTGAACTATCCAAGTTTGACATAGTTCAGTCAGTTCAGTTTACTAATGTCATTATGCAACAGTTAAGAAATCAGACTTGAAAGCATACCAAGCAGAAATTGATTATTCAGAACATTACCACCTGCCAACATGTTACATTGTCATAAAGTTGTAGACTTGGAAGGAATTTTTGAAGGTCTGTAAGCTTTTAAAAATAAATTGACAATACATTTACTTTTAAGCCTGTTCTCATAAAATTTTTAAACAATAAAAAAGTTCAGCATTTTAAAAGGAAGAAATATCATGGATCACCTATTATTTTCAAACTTTATTAGGTGAGCAGCTTTCTATATGGGGAAAGATTACAAGGTTTAAATAATGTGGTGTCTTAAGTCTGTTTGACAATTCATCCCAAGAAATTTTTTTTCATGTGTGTTGTTAAATTTTCAAACGATACAGCCAATCTAGAGCAAAAAGATAAAATCCCTCTTGCTGGGAATACTACACTTGTTCTCTGTCCTCAACTGTAAAGACAAAGGTAAATAGCTACTGTTAGCAGCTCAGTGTGTCTTATCCAGCCCTTGATACAAACGAAAATATATATTTTCTAAAGTTGATATTATTATACCTACTTTTTTAAATTGCTACATTGATATCTTGGGTATCTTTTCATATCAATACATATAAAGTTGATTCATTGTTGTTGTTTTTTGTTTTGTTTTGTTTTGTTTTTGAGTGCAGAGTATTCTATATAGAAAATGTAATATAATGTATTTAGGTTCTTCTCTATTGGGGGATGTTTAGATTATCTTCAGTTTTCTAACATTGCAAAAATATTTTAGTTTGGGACTCAAGATGGCAGGCTGAACACATGAGTGTTTCTTCCCCTTCTCCCAAGATTCCATCAAAATAAGACTAAAGGAAAAAAATATAGAGATATATAACCTATAATCAGCAGGCTGCCCAGAAAGGTGGCATCTATGCACAAATGACTGTAACAAATTTCTGAAATTCAGAAGGCAGATGGACAAAGGTTCATTAACAGGACAGGGCAGTGGCATCACAGGCTCAGTGAACAGAGGGCATTGTGCTGAGGCGGGACCTGTGGGACAGAGCTTAGGAGCCACTGAGCCTGGGAGGAAGGAGGTAATGTGGAAGGATTCATAAGCTGAAACAATTAAGCCATACCAAACTTTGATTTCTTCTGAAAAAAACTAAAGATGAGACAGGCACCCACACACACACAAAACCACACACACACACACACAC